CAATGTCATGACACAAAGTATATGTGAACTGCTGTGTGGAAGATGAATTTACTCTGTAAACTTTCACCCATATCACAATAAAATTTTAAAAAAAAAAAAAAGATGGCTCTATTATTATCCTCACTTTACAAATATAGAAATTAAGGTTCAGAAAGTTTAAATGACTTGCACAAGAAACTGATCTGGAATTTTGCTCTTAGGCAGTCATCTCTAGACCCCTTGCCCTTAATCTCTAACCCATAATGTGGTCAGGATAATTTCCACAAAAGGAAAAAGATCCTCAAGTAAGCATATATATTCCCCCACATAAATATACAATTTAAAGAACAGCTTTTTCACTGGTGATGGAGGGAGGAGAGAGGACAACCCCCATTTGTGCTCAATGCCCTTAAAACAAAGCACAGAGGAAAAAGAGGGCTTTTTTGGGCCAGGTCACCGAGTTGAAAGTGGACCTATTTACTACAAAAAGGTACTTTCCCGTCTCTGGGAATTTGCTCAGGTTCTCTGGTGGCATAGTGGTTAAAGCACTGGGCTGCTAACCAAAAGGTTCAAACCTACCAGCTGCTCCTCCATGGGAAAAAGATGAGGCAGTCTGCTTCAGTAAAGATTTACAGCCTTGGAAACCCTATGGGACAGTTCTACTCTGTCCTTTAGGGCTGTTATAAGTCAGAATTGACCCGATGGCAGTGGGTTTGGTTTTTGGGTTTTTGGTTCCATCCCCCTTTCTTTCATTTGCTCAAATTTTACCAAACTGTTAAGGCCATGTCAAAACCTGCTTCCCAGATTTCAACTCTCTCCTTTTCCTGACTGTCCACAGCATTTCTTTTTGATACAAATTTTGACAACCATGTTCAATTGAGTAATCTCATATAGTTCTCTAAATATTTTCTGTGTCTATGTCTTGCCTCCTTGGAATGATTACATTTTTCTAGAGGAACCATCTACAACAGTGCTTGACACATAGTCAAGGATCCAAAAATACTTAAGTTCAATTATTGCTTCTCAAAAGCTGCCATACCCTGTGGACATGTGTTTGTTTGGTTGTTTTTAACTGTGATTTGGGTGAAAGTTTACAGAGAAAATTTGTTTTTCATTCAATAGTTCATACACATTTTGTTTCATGACACTGACTGCCATCCCCATAATGTAAACAACTCTCTTCCCATTTCGCCCTTGTGATTACCTTTTCCCTGTGTCCTTCTTTCCTATGCATCCCTGCCCTCTGAGCTATCTCCCTGTGCAAATGCTGCCCTTCTGATCTTCCATGGTTGACTGCTCTAAGAAGTATACCTACCTAGTCTAATTGTTCACCCTGCAGGCCTTCCTACTGTTTGGCTGGAAGCCACAAGAATGAGTTCAATTCCAGGCCCGAAGAATGACTAGGGGCCATGGTCTCAGGGGATTCACCAGTCTCTATCAGACCAGTAAACCTCTTCATTTTTTTTTTTATGATTTTGAGGTTTGTTTCATATTTTTCTCCCACTCTATCCAGGATCTCCTATTGTGATCCCTTTCCAATTGGTTGACACTGATAGCCGAGCACCATCAAGTTCTTCTGGTCTTAAGGCCACGTAGGCTAAGGTTGTCATGGTCCAGCAGTCCTCTGGGCAATTTATTTCCCTGTGTCTTTGATTTTCTTCATTCTTCTTTGCTCCGGATGAGGAGAGACCCATTGTTGCATCTTAGACAGCCACTCACAACCTTTTAAGACCCCAGTCGTTACTCAGCAAAGTATGACGCAGAACAATGTTTTTTTGTGGTGCCTTATGCCAATTGAGCATGATGTCCCCTGTAGGCCCAGTGACTCACTTTCTCAAGTTGTCTGGCTGCAGCTAAGAAGTTATCATAACTTTGTCCCCTATTAGCTCTATTACGTATGTGGACATTCTTACAGCACATACAAATACGTATGTAGAAATATCATCTTGCAAACTTATATATAAACCAAAAAACCAAACTCACTCCCACTGAGTCAATTCCAACCTATAGCAACCCCCATTGGGTTTACCAGATGGTAAATCTTTACAGAAGTAGATTTCTTCATCTTACTTCTGCAGAGCAGCTGATGGGTTTGAACCACGAACCTTCTTGTTAGCAGTCAAATGCCTTATGAGTCTATTCCCTTTTGCCTCCTTATACCTGACCATTTAGCCTGTCTACCTATGTATCCATCCAAAGATTCATGTTTTGTTATTACTGATAATGCATATTGTGTATGTAAAAGTGTTCACCATTGCTGTCTGTATATCCTGTGCACCTCTCCTTTCCTTAGTTTTATCGTGCTGGTCACTCACTTTGGTATATTGCCTTTCCCTTCACCTAAGTCAATACTTGTCTGTTACCTAAATAGTGGTTTTTCCTCCCTCCCTGCCCAGCCCTGGTAACCAACAAAGAAAGTTTCCTTCCATGTGTGCACATATGTTTTTCTAGAATGTACTACTTACCTTGAGAAGCTTCTCTTGCATCTCAATGGCTTTTGCTTCTCTCTGCTCTATCCAGTGAGAAAGAGTTCTCAGAGCAGCAGCTCGCGTAGGGATCTGAGGATCATAAGCTGACAAAAGAACCTCCTGGAGCTCTTCTGTGGTTATGCTTCCAGATGTCTGGCTTACAGTGGTGCTGGATTCATGTACCTCCTCAGGAGTATGCAGAACGGTATTAGACTTTAGGCTTGTCTGGTAGTTGGATTTCTCATTGTTTTGCTGTTGTTTGAGGTGGCTATTAGCTACATCAGTGGGTCTTTCACAATTGGCTTGTTGTTCTTCTTCTATTTTCCCTTCTGGATCTTTTTTGTTCAAGGTACTTTGGGCAGCCATACTGATGGCCTCGGTAGAAAAGGCTCCATGGGTAGCAATGGTGATGCGGAGATCAACAGCGAGTTCTTGGATGACAGGGTCAGGGTAGGTGTTGGAGACATTTTCCAAAAGAGGCAGTAATTGTTTCAGCACAGCAAAATCACTTGACTTCAACTACAGAATAAAATGAAAAATGTCAAATCCAAGTTAACATAACACATGTTAATATGACCAGAGCACAAGGAAACATATTCTGAGTGAAAGGGGCTGGGAACAAATCTTGTTCATGGCGTAATGTGAGTGCACAGCCTAGGTCTAGTATTCAGTAGGAGTCCCTGTGGTATGGTTAACGCACTTAGCTGCTAACCAAAAAGTTGGAGGTTCAAGTCCACCTGGAGGCATCCTGCAAGAAAGGCCTGCTGATCTACTTTCAAATAATTTGCCATTGAAAACTCAATTGAACACAGTTCTATTCTGACACATGTGTGGTTGCCATGAGTTAGAACTGATTCCACAGCACCTGGTTATCACTTAAAAAGTATTTGCTGAATAGTTATAGCTACACATTTATTGAATACTTACCACGTCCAGGCACTTTTCTAAGAGAACACACACACTCACTCACTCACTCACTCACACTTACATCCCTATAATATATTACCCACATTTCGAACAGGGGGAAACTAAAACACAGAACCACAGAACAGTTAAGTAGCATGCCCAAAGTGACACAGTTGAAAGAGTGTAAGACAAGAACTCAAGACGTCTGGCTCCAGAGCCCACACTCTCACCAAATACTTCACACTGGCTCACTTGAGTCAGTAACGCCATTCTTAACTACACGATCGAAAGTGGCTGGTCAGTATACAAGGGCATCATAGGTCCAGAAAGGATCAGAATGCTAATTGGCAGAGGGAATTTCTCCCAGGAAGTGAGAGTGAAAATTACGTAAGATTTTATTCTCTAAGGAAGCATCGTAATAATAATGCCACATGCCTTATTAAGAAAGGTGCATGTGAAGCCAATGAAGAGGCAAGAATCAGTGGTAATCCTTTTGTGTGTGAAAATACTAGAAAATCAGCCTATAAGGCTTCTTGAGGTCCTGAAATTTGAAAACCTCAGGGATCTTCAATTGTTTTTAGAATAAGGCAGAGTACGTATTCCTAAATCATTAACTTAACTGAATTAAGCAACAAACCTCATAGTTAATCAACTAACTGTTTTCTTAGAACCTATATAATCTTCTCATTTTACACTATAAATCCACAGAATTATTACTGGCCACTTTCTCTACCACTCTAGTATTAAGTAAATGAAACCTGAAGGATATGTTAGGTTTGTCCTGTAGTCTCTCACAAACTCCCCTCAGATTTCGTTGTTTACACAATTAGAAATGAATGCGAAATCAGTGTAGGGTAGAACTAGCTTCCCAACATGTTAGTTTATTTTCACGTGTAAAACAAGGAACAATGCACCATTCTGATATTATTATCTCTTAAAGGGAGAGGAGAATGTTTAGATTAAAGATACACGTTATTTAAGAAAAAAGTTAATGAAAATTCATTTTAGAATACTTTTGCTACTGTTATCATTATGGTAACCTTCATTCAATGTCTCAGTAGTATGGTAGGTAAAAACAAAAAACCAAACTCACTGCCATTGAGTAGGATCCGACTCACAGAGACCCCTTCTTGGGTTTCCAAGGCAGTATCACTACGGAAGTAGATTGCCCAATCTTCCTTCCAAAGGTTGGCAGTCAAATGCCTTAGGCACTATGCCAAGTTTTTTCTTTATGCATCTGAAATGGGAATATCTACTTTTATCTACAGTTTATGTGGCTTCTTATTCATTTCTTATAAAACAATTTCTTCTAAAATACAACAATCTTTTCTTCCGGTTTTCATACTTCTTAGTCAGTGTGGAACTCATATTATTCAACTGGACAACTTCTCTATGAGCAAGCGGGTGGATTCTTAATCAAATAGTTTATAAGGCAATTAAAGATACACATTCTTTCAGTTTCATAAGCCTACAGACTTACAGTTTTCCCACTGTGAGAATAATCAGGAAAGTCTAAGACTACAGCTGCCCACTATATGTTCATAAACGTTTAAAATCACTTTTGAGGTATAAAATAATATTCACTTAGTTGGCAGATGAGAAAACTAAAGCACTAAGTAGTAACCTATTTTCCAAGGGTCACTGAATACCACTACCAAAACTGAGAACTAATCATATAGCCCTCATTTCTACTCGTTCTGATGGCACTGCTTCTCAATGCAGATCTTATATCCTGATCTCAGAATTGAGTGGAAAAGTCCCAAGGCCTGAAGTAGCAGCCACAAGTGAGTGTCAGACACATTTATCTGGCTGCCTCCCTTCCAGAGTTTCTGGACTGTTACAGGGAATGAGCAGAGCCATATCAACACACATCTCAGATTCCTTTCAGGACTGTCAGAAGCAAACCAGTCAGATTGTGAGTTGTCTAAATTTTCTGAAAGTTTTCAAATTCATTTAAGAACTGGGGATTGAACTGGTGGGCAGTGGTGGTGGTAGAGTGTGCTCTCTAAGGGAAGCATATCAAAATGAGCTAACAGTGAGAGAGAGCACATATACACAGAGAAGGGCCCACACAAGACTTTAATAAGCTCCCCTACAGAGAATACAGACAGTCCTTGGGTTACAAATAAGATCTGTTCCTAAGTGTGTATTTAAGTTGAATTTGGAGGTAAGTTGGAACAAGTATGTACAGTTTTTATTTAGCCTTCCTTTAGTGCAAGAATGGATCTCTGGTGGCACAGTAGTTAAAGTATTTGGCTACTAACCAAAAGATCAGCGGTTCTAAACTACCAGCCGCTCCTCCATGGGAAAAAGATGAGACGTTCTTCTTCCGTAAAGATTTACAGCCTTGAAAACCCTATGGGACAGTTCTACTCCGTCATACAGGGTCACTAAGAGCCAGAATCGACTGTGGGTTTCATTTTTTGTTAGTGCAAGAAAAGGAGGAAAGCCTTTTCAGGATTTAAAAGCTGCATATGCAGCAAGTGAAGATTTTGTTGCCAGTAGGCATTGGTTCAATTGTTTCAAAGAGAAGGCAAATTTACTTAACACTCACTGCCCTTGAGTAGTTCCAACTCACAGCAACCCCTCCTTAGGTTTCCAGGTGGTATCTCTACAGAAGTAGATTACCCTGTCTTCTTTAACTTAACATTAAAGAGCAAGTAACCCACTGCCATCAAGTCAATTCTAACTCATAGCGACCCCCAGTGGGTTTCTGAGGTGGTAAATCTTTATGGAAGTAGATTGCCTCATCTTCCTTCTACAGAGCAGCTGGTGGGTTTGAACCTCCAACCTTCTGATTAACAGTCAAAGGCCTTAGGCATTGCACCACCGACAAATAGGGATCCTTAAGTCAGATATTTGTAACCTGGGGACTTCCTGTATATACTACTCTCACCTGCCTTACCCTGCTCCAGTGAGATTACTATTTTAGAAGAATCCAAGGGTTTCTTCAGCAACAAAACTGTGATCTAAAAATTCCTAATACTGAGAAATATTTACTATTATTCTCCATATTCTAATTTTTGTATATCAGCTACATTTCCTCAAATATTTGGCTGACTTGTTACATGCCTAGGTTATTTATTTATATAATCTTATTTATGAGTGGAATTTTTCGATTTATTCGAGGTCAGCATACAGAATGCCCTGTTTTATAATGAGCAACACATAAAGATATACATAAAATAAAGAAATGTGAATCTTTTGGAAAGTAATAAAGAATTCATCAGAATTAAGCTGTAAGAATATTCATACAGAAGGGGAGGGAATGCTGTTAGATAGATAGAGATAAATATTGATTTGGGTGAAGAGAAGG